TGGTCATATCTTTGAGGCACATTGCGCACGGCCTGCAGCGCGGAGTCTCCACGAGGATACACTCGCGACCAGCGCGGCACACTCACGACGACGACCCCGTGCAAACCCGTGGTCGGCGATGGCTGGGCAAGGTGCTATGCGGCGTGCGTACCACGCCTTTCCAATGACGGGCAACAGGTGGATGACTCTCTTTCCCGCGGGGCCGATCTTCAGGGATTTGCGCAGCCCGACCCCCGCGCTCCTGTGCCGGTGCAAAGGCGAGGTCTGCGACGATCTCATTTTTGACAGGCCAAACGATAACAACCACCAGAGCCCACGGATCTCTGGGGCCTTGTCCGAGGTGACGAAGCCCCCCCGACGCCAGTTGGGAAATCATGCCATGCGCCACAGCTCCAGGGGGGACGTGTCGGGAGGGATCTGGCGTCTTTTGGGGGGCCCTGCGCATGTATCTCCTAATGATATGCACATCTTCCTTGACAAGAGCGTTGACCTCCTCATCCTCACCGTCATATGGGAAGGGCTCAACTTCACGGTCACCCCTCCAACTATCCCAATCATGCTCACTGCACAACGTGCCTCCCTGCGCGCCAGGAAGAGACCAGACGGATAACCACTCATCAACAGTAGGTTGACGTGGGGCACAGAGCCGACCGTCTCTCTTCTTAGGTCCTACCCGTGTACGTGCAGCCTGTCGTGATATCCTCATCGCCTCCGCCATCCTCCTGTGCTCCCAGTGTTCCGTGGCCTCCTCGCACAGTCGTGCTCGGTGTCGCCTTAATGCCCTCCTCCTTGCCGTCCGCAGCTCCCCCGCGAAGTCCCGAAGATCACGATATATCCTCTCCGCCTCCTCTCCTGTCGCCCCCTCCTTCCCAGAACGGGTAAGCGTGCGTTGTCGTAACAGCTCACGTCGACTCTTGCAATCCAGAGAATAGGTAGGACAAGGAGGAGGATGAACCTGAAAGTGTCTACGACCAGCTTCCAGGAGAACGGCCTCTAGAGTACGATATAGCATCAGGACACCCATAGTCACGAAGCCAGGCGAAAGGAACCGTACGCAGCACTTCCTGCACCGATCGCAGGAACTCCCAGCGCAGACATCCGCGCCGAAGTCCGTCCATGAGCAGATCGAAGTTCCAACGGTCACCTGGCACCTCCTGTGGTCGAGCCCCCCCTCCCTTGTTATAGGCAAGAGGCAGGTGATCGCGAGGTGCGGGGCCACGAATGGCCTGTAACTTCGCCCCCATAGAACGTAACACAGTAGTTTTGACCACCTGTGCTTCCATCCCCCTCGGTAGAAACATGTAGTCCAATCTACTAGAACCAGTATCATGGTAGTACGTGGGGACATACGTGTTGGTGTGCATAGCTTTCATGTGGTTCAATTCCATGAGCTCACGGACATGATGTCCAGCACCTCGAATGATCCGCTCCTCAATACAGGTGTCCACAACACACGTGGGGAGGTCAACCCAACGTTCGTGCTGGTAGGCCCTCCCGATGCCGTCGTTCAGATCGGTGAAGAACACCGGTGTGCATCTCTGGGGCAGTTCGTGCAAGACTGTGGCCAACCAGTCGTGCAGGATAGACACGGTTTGCAAGTAGTTTCCCCTCTGCTCACGATTCTTGGGACGAGGAGGGAAGTAGGCCACCAAGGCACAGACGTCTAGGGGTCCTCTTTTGAGTCGAGCGGCAAGCCCTCGCCCTGCTGCACCAGCAGGGCTCCCCCACGTCTGGTACACATCCGACGATCCGAAGAACCCTCCCAGTACAATAGCACACCCACAGCTAGAGTTACTATATGGCTGTAGTAAGTGAGCACGGGGGGCCTCCAACACAATATTCCCAGACACGCGTCGCTGTAGTACTGTTGCGTTCCCTAGTCGATCCCCTGCTGTAGTCCCACATAGCATAATAAGATCGAAGTTCCTCTCCTCCAGCGCGATCTCCTCCAACCTCTCTCCCGTGGCCCGGAGGGGGTTGAAGCCGAGGCATCGCAGCATGGGCATGTGGAAGGAAAATGGCACGTGGGGCCGGGGAGTGTGGGGCGAAGAGAAACCTCGCCAGCCAGGCCGATTCAGGGCATGGTGGGTCACTCCCTGCAGGAAACAGAGAGACCTCGCGACCGCCCGAAACATCGCACCTGAGCCGCGGGGGCTGGAGGAGGAGGAGGAGGAGGAGGAGGAGGAGGAGGAGGAGGAGGAGGAGGAAGCGGACGACGACGACGACGACGAGGACGATGAGGACGAGGACGCGGACGAGGAAGAGGAGGAGCAGGAGGAGGGCGCGGTCGACAGGGAAGGTGAGGACCACGAGGTCCGCCAGCTCGACGCCCGCCTCGCCCGCGCCCGCCCCCTCAATCTGATCCGCAATTGCGGGGTGCGACGTACGCTTCAAAACGCTCCAAGAACGACTCAAGAAGGCCTCGAATCGCCATGTTTGGGGGGGGGGGGGGGCTGAATCCGTTACCCCCCTCCCTGTTTGATGCGTTGGGCCCAAGATCGGCCCAGGAGGCCTCCAAGACTCCCACTTTGCAGGGTGTGTGAAGGGTCCTTGCAGCCCCCCACCCACCCTGTAAAGACCCTGCACAGACCTTGAAGGCCCCAGCAAAGACCCTGCAAAGAGGGGAGGCCCTCTTTCGCAGGTCATGGAGCCTTAAGCCCCACTGTTCAAACATCGGGGGGGGTACGAAATTCAAGTACCCCCGAAAGCTCAAAGCTCGTGCCGCGTTCCGCATCCTCCTCCTCCTCCTCGTCCTTTTTTCCTTCTCCCCCTCCCCCTCCTCCTCCTCCCCCCCTCCCTCCCCCTCCCCCTCTCCCCCTCCTCCTCCTCCTCCTCCCCCCTCCCCCTCCTCCTCCTCCTCCTCCTCCTCCTCCTCCTCCTCCTCCTCCTCCTCCTCCTCCTCCTCCTCTCCTCCTCCTCCTCCTCCTCCTCCCCCTCCCCCTCCTCCTCCTCCTCCTCCTCCTCCTCCTCCTCCTCCACCTCCTCCTCCTCTCCCGCCTGCGCATGTTGCTCCTCCAGATCCACACTGACCTCCTCCCCCACCTCCTCCTCATCCTCCTCGGGGTATTAGGCAGCTCCGCGGGCCGCCCCCCAGCCACAGGATCAGAGACTTTATCCTGTTGGGGCGGATAACACTGTGATCTACCGGCCAAAGCGGCGGATCTGCGATCCGGGCTCAAGATAGGCTCCAACAGGCCTCGTGACAGCCTCCGATCGTGTCTGGATGGGCCAATGGGAATACGCGAGACAACACGCATTGTTGTGTTAACTGCCGTGTGGTATGTGTTCCGTTTCTGGTGAGTATGTTCTACTTTTGGGCTGAGGTTTTTTTTTCTGTTGGAATGCAGTTGTCCGCTCGTGTCGGGCCGCTTGTCGTTGTTCTGTTTTGGCTTGCCGCTTGTTTTTCTGTTTTGGTCCACCGCAACACGAGAAACTTAATACGTAACAGCAAACGCACCAAGAGTCTCACAGACCGGCTAAGGGTCCAAGATGCCCCAAAGGGGGCCCGACAGGGCCACAAAAGGGTCCCCCACAGGGCCCGAACGACCTTTGGTGTTTATTGTGGAGTTCCCCGAGGCCGCGAGCCAAAATCATGGATTTGCCTTTGACCTTTGAATGGCTGCTGCATTTTCACCTCGTCGGGCTTCGCTGAGCTCAGGACGGCCCGAGGAGCCTCCGCGACGGTCCCAGGACGGCCCGAGGGGCGCCCACGAGGCTCCGAAGGTGGCTCAGGAGGATCCCACAAAGCCTAACAGGCATCGAGGACGGCCCCAAGACGGCAGCACGGGGTCTCCGGTGGGGCCCACGACAGCCTTGGCAGGCCCAAGACGGCGCCAAGACGGCGCCAAGACAGCATCGCTAGGGCCCTCAGACACGCTCAAAACGGGCACCAAGACGGCGAAACAGTGCCCCAGCACGGCCTAAGCGGGCCCCAAGGCGGCCCAAGCCCCAAAAGACCCCCAAGACTGCCTCACAGGCGGCCCAGACAGTTCAAAGACGGCTCAAACGAACTCCACGAGAGCTTCTGAAATCGTGAAAGCCAAACTGACACAGGAGACGGCCGTACTCTTCCTACCCCTCCTCCTCGTCCTGCTCCAACTCATCGTCCTCATCCTCGCACTCGCCCTCCTCCTCGTCCTCCTCCTCCTCATCTTAACTGTCCTCGTCACCATCATCGCCACCACCAGCATCATGATCAGCAAAACCTCCATCACGCATATGAATATATAGTCATCAGAATCAGGATCATCAGCATAACCATCATCATCATCATCATCATCATCATCATCATCATCATCATCATGATCAGCATCATCAACAACATCATCATCATCATCATCATCATCATCATAACCGTCATCATCAACATCAACATTATTATCACCAACACCTTCATCATCTTCAGCATCGTCAGCATCATATTCATTCTCACCATCGTGTCCACCATCATCACTAACACCATCGTAAGCAACATCAGCATCATTATCATCATCATCATCAGCATCAGCATCAGCATCATCATCATCATCATCATCAGTATGGTCATCATTAGCATCACCAGCATCAACATCAGCATCATCATCAGCATCCTCATCATCAGCATCATCATCAACTACACTATGGCCGTCAGCACCACCGTCGACATCGTCGTCGTCATTCTCCTCGTCCGCGTCATTGTCATCAGCATCGTCATCGTCATTGTCATCGTCATTGTCATCGCCATTGTCATCGTCATCCTCGTCAACATGATGATGCTCATCATCATCGTCATCATCACCATCATCATCATCATCATCATCATCATCATCATCATCATCATCATCATCATCATCATCCATCATCATCATCAAGATCATCACCATCAACAATACCATGATCACCATCACCATCATCATCACGGCTGTACCAAGCCTTGAGACACGAGGTGTGACACGTGACGGCCTCCGGTGCCCCCTCGTACAGTCGCCACCCTGAATGCTGGGCTGGCACGGTGGCGGGACTTGCCGCAAGCAGCTGGATAGCCTCCGGCTGCCCTCGTCGTAGTAGAGGAGGCGAACGAAGCCCACGTCGAAGAAGAAACCGAACAGGTGCTTCATCCGCTGCTCGAAGTCGCGGATGCTCTTCGCCTTGTTGAGGTTGACCGCCATCTCCAGGCAGTCCTCGGGTGCACGCAAGGAGGCGGATGCCGGAGCAACCATCTGGCGTGCGCGGCCTGCCGGGCCGATGGTTGCACGTCATGGCCGCAGTCGCAGCCCCCCCCCCCCCAGCGCCCTCCCCCCCTCACCCCCCCCAGCGCCCTGCCCCAATGCTTGGAAGTGCGCCTCCCCCCCCCCCAGCGCCCTCCCCCTCCCCGCGAACCGCGCACCAGGGGCGTCACGTTGAGCAAGGACCGACCGTCCCGGCGTTCCTGTAGGCCTACCACGAAATCCTTTTTAGAACCCAGAGCTGTTCTAAGAGCAAAAACCGTGGTCTTAGAACATGAGCCCGATGTGTTCTGAGAAAATCTCGTGCAGACCACTGAAGATTCTTAGAACATTCCTTGGTGGGCCATTAGGCAGACCGGGACGCCTCGCCGCTGCTGGATAAACAAGCCAATCGGGCGGAGGGCCGCGCCCACGCGCACGGGCAACATGTTTCATGGCCTTGTCTTGCCGTCGCTCGGACGTCCATTTCCCGTCCATTTGTCGGTTTCGTGCGCGTTTGTTTCGCTCGATGGTCCAGGAGATGGTCCGCGATGGTTCTTGCCGAGAAGAAGTGCACACGTTCGAGCGATGCCAAGTTCTTGGTCTGGACTCCCAAGCGCAAGCCAGTGAACACGCGGTCGCTCGGACCCCTTCGGCGCGGGGCGTCCGGGCACGGAAGCCGCCCCGCATCCACGAGCCCGGGGCCCGGGGGCCCCGGCCCGTGAGGCCATGGATCGGGATGTGCTCCTCGGGGCACGGAGTTGGACGGCAAGGAGGCACCGATGCCGCCGTTCCCTTCGGAGCTCTCCTCGGGGGCGCCCCGACCAGAACTTCGGGGCGAGTCCAGCCGTGGCGGCAAGGGCTCTCCAGGAGGAGCAGCCTTAGCGGCAGCTCCTCCTCCTGCGACGGACTGCCCAGACCCCCGATGTCTTGATTGTTGTTTATGGCGAGGACCCGCGGGGTCTGGACTCCTTGCTGGGGACTAGCTTTGGATTCTGACGTTTCTCGACAGCCCCCCCCCCCAGAGGCCCAAAACTATCAGAAACCGCCCGTCCTGAATTTTCATTGGTAGAACTAAATAAACAAGTTGCAACATCACGAACAAACAAGACCAGAGCCCTCGAACCCATCTTTCTGCTGCCTTTTTTGCGAGCTAGATCGATATGTGATGGTCTGGGGGACCTGCAACGGGCAAAACACCCAGCCTGAACAAACATCAAACGCCTGGAGCTCAGTGCGTTCTGAGCATCGTCTCACCGATCCCTGTATACCTCATGGCAAGGTCCTGGGCCCCCCTGGCCCGTCTGCCCCTCTAGATAGGGACATGAGCTGCTCCTTCCGGGCTTCGAGGGGCATATCCATATCCCCAACTGGGGTAGTGGGATGGTGGGGATCGAGATGGGAATCGGGATGGGGATCGGTTCAACGATACTGTTAGGTCGGGCCGGTCCCCCTACAGGGATTTTTGGGCGAACAATTAAGAAACAAATGCTAAGAACATGCGCCACAAATAATCAAAAATTAAAAGATCGTCCCCATATTGTTTCCCCACTTTTTTTGAGTATTCCTCCTGTAGGGGGACACGCCCGACTCAACGATACTGATGCTCCTCGTCTGCACGCAGCAGGCGTCCTTCATCCTCGAGCACATCTCCGAGCGCCGGTGCAGCCGGTCGGCCTGCGCGAGGAGGCCCCCGGCGACGTTGCAGGCCAGTGCCAGCCACCCCGCGTGGTGATCGCAGAAGGCGCCAGGCTCCTCCGGGACGCACGGGGACCAAGGGGCCCTGGGACACACAAGTAAATAGACACAAATAACAGGATTCCCAACATTTTCTCATATTTTCTGGGTTTTCGTGTTCCCCCCCACTTCCCATACTTTCCCATATTTTCCTGGGAATCGTCGATTCATTTTGTCTGTGTGTTTTTCCCCTCCTGAAGAGACATGCTAATACTATCTGTCCGCCTTGGAGGCGCGCGTCCGACCCGAACATGTAGTATACCCATCTTGTAGTGCATCCTTTCTCGAGCGGTGCGGCCAGAGAGCGCGCCCGCCACGACGCACATACTGTAGGATTTCTCGGTGCGCGCGTCGCCACTGGGGGGAAAGGAACACATAGTATATGACTACCTACCAGACCACCCCAACCCAACCCGAAGACCCGAATTTGACCCGAATTTGACCCGAATTTCGGGTTTGGAGGGGGTATTGATACCATGTGTTTTTTCAACGTTCCCCGACCCCCCCCCCGCTGGAAATGGAAGGCAAATTGAGGGCTTCGGGTTGGGTCGGGGTGGTTTGGTGGGTGGTGAGTAGAAGTATGCTGGGGGGACGCCGATCCTCCGCGTCGGGCTGCGAGGAGGCCGCGCCTGGCAGGCCCGAGCTGGCTCGAATGTGAATCGCAGCGGACGTGGAGCGGATCGGATCGCCGGCGACTCGCCCCGCGTGGCGTCGGAGTCGGAGCAACAAGGGCTCCCAGCTTCGCGCTTCGCGCTGCGCGAAGCGCGAAGTGCGAATAACTTCGCGCTCTCGCGCCGCCTCCCAGGGGAGAAGGGGAGGAAAAGGAGGAATCGGAGCCGAACCGCGAAGCGCGAAGCGCGAATAACTTCGCGCCCTCGAGGGCGCCCTTGCAAAAGGTGCACCCTACGCCCCCACATTTTGCCGCCAGCCACGCCCGAACTCCTGCTGGCCCCGGCCGATACCAGGGAATCGGGCCGACCCGCATCGAGTCGGAATCGCGGACCCAGCCGGCGAACAGGAATCGCCTGGAATCGAATCGTAGGCGGCCCCGCCTGGCGCATCGTGGATGGAGGAGCGGTGGCTGATATGCGAGGAGATGGACTGCTGATTCCCGACGTGCGAGGAGTTGGAGTCCCGCTGCTCGACCGGGGGCGGGGTCCTCTGGGGATAGAACAAACGCATACCCGTCGGTCGGAAGAAGTGGGTTGAAACATGGAGACGGAAGGCGTTGGAAGTAGATTGGGCTTCCGCTCAAAACCAAGGATGCAGGAAGAGAGGGAAACACTCGATCATTGAAGTAGGGAGGGAGGCGCTTGAAGTAGATAGGGAATCAGAGGATCCACAAAAACACATACTTGAACCACCGACGAGTAAACATGAACTTCCAGCGCTCCGATGTGGATGTGCGCTGGAGACCCCCCCCTGGCGCGCGGAGCGCGCCAGGAGCGTCGCAAGACCGCCGCCGGGGGGCCTCAACGCAGATCGAAGAATCTGGGTGGACCTGGTTGGGTAACCGATCCCTAACCAAAGAAACGTGACTGCCCATGTCGGCATGAATTGACAATTGAGCGACGAAAAGAAACGGGCCTTACGCGAGATGACATAGCAACATTGCGCAGTGGCTTACGCGGGCCTTCGGCGCGGCACGCCACATTTCAGACGAGGGCGCTTACGCACGAGCTTACGCGGGAAGCTTACGCGCCAATGAAGGCGAAGACGACCCCATTCTTCTGCGTGGCTCAATTCTCTGTCGCCGCTTCATTCATTCTGGGCCACGTCTACATCGCAGAGCGGGGGGGGTGCTCGGAAGGGGCATGGCGCTCCTTGACAAAAACCTCTTCCCGATGTGTGGCCGCCGCGACGGCTGCGGCGACCTTCGAAACCGTCCCGGCGATTTGGCTCGTGGTCAGAAATCACCTAACGAAAACCGTGGAGGAGGAGGAGGAGGAGGAGGAGGAGGAGGAGGAGGAGGAGGAGGAGCAGGAGGTGGAGGAGGAGGAAAACGAACACGAAGAATAATAATAACCATAATAATAATGAGAAGAAGAAGAAGGATAATAAGAAAAAGAAAAAGAAGAGGAGGGGGAGGAGGAGGAGGAGGAGGAGGAGGAAGCAGGGGGAGGAGGCCGAAAGCTTATGCTGACATGCCGTTCTGTCTCCTCCCGCGCCTCGACGACCGGCGGCGCACCGAGAGCTGCCGCTCGAAGTCCTCGGGCGCGGCCCGACCGACCCCTGGCAGACCGTCCCCCCTCCGCGGCGCGAGCCTCGCCCCTCAAGCTCTCCTCTGGCCGCATGCAGGAGGAGGAGGAGGAGGAGGAGGAGGAGGAGGAGGAGGAAGAGGAGGAGGAGGAGGAGGAGGAGGGGGGGGAGGAGGAGGAGGAGGAGGCGGAGGAGGAGGGAGGAGGAGGGAGGAGGAGGGAGCCACGTCTCGGGGCGAGGCGAGAAGGACGCCATGTCAGGAGGCAACAGCTGGGAAGTTCTCGCCGGAGAGATCACGGAGGATGGAGCCCCATTTGGGAGCTACTACGACGGAGTGGGCCTCGGATTCCGCGGGATTCAGCCGGATGAAGCGGGATGAAACGGGATCAAGCGGGATTAAGCCGGACGTCGGACCTGTGCAAAATCAGAATCTGACCTCCCAGGAGTTGCATCCCAAGACGTTATCCTATAGGCAAACAAAAAGGGACATAAACATAAAAACCCGAAGTCCGCGCGGATTTCCCGGATCCGCGCTGGGGTCCCCCGGGGCGTGCTCCGCGCGCCAGGGAGGGGGATCCAGCGCCGATCCGAGAAATCCGCGCGGGCCTCCGAGTTTTTATGTTTCTGTCACTGTCTGTTCCCCTAGTCGGGGATGGACAAACCCCCCTTTAGCAAAACGTGGTTTAGTGAAAACGACGTGAGGCCCAAACCTGGCGGGCGCAAGCCTGGAAAATAACGGCCACGGCGCCCTCTCGAAAACCGAAAACGGACAATTCACTAATCGACGTGTCACTGTTGGGGGTTCTGTCCACCCCCGACCTAGTCACGGAGGGGGACGGCCTGCTGGGGGTCGGTGCGGCCGCGCCCGGAGGTCCCGGTCGCCCGAGATCTGCACCACGGCCAGCGGGCGGCCGGCGCTCGCCCCCGCGCGGGGCACGGGGGCGGCGAGGGCGGCGCGCGAGCGGTACGGGAGCGCCGACAGGTCGGCAAAGCGGGGGGCCTCGCTCTCGCGGGGGGGGAGAAGCTCAAAGGGGCCCTAGGACACACAAACAAATAGACACACATCCAGGGATCAATATATATATATATATATACACCTATACGACCACCCTTCGGGTGATAAGGAGGTTCGGGGGGGGGGGAGGAACCAACGTCTCACTCGATCGGTCTCACTATCGATCTCCCTATCGATCTCACTATCGGTCTCGCTCGATCGATCTCACTCGATCGATCTCACAATCGATCTCACTCGATATATCTCATTCGATCGATCTCACAATTGATCGGACTTTCGATCTCACAATCGATCTCACAACCGATCTCGCAATCGATCTCACATTCGGTCTCACTATCGATATCACTATCGATATCACAATCGATATCACAATCAACGTCATCATCGTCATCCTCATCACCATCATCATCAACATCATCATCATCATCATCATCATCATCATCATCATCATCATCATCATCATCATCATCATCATCATCATCGGGACACCGTTATCATCATCAACATCATCATCAACGTCATCATCATCATCATCATCATCACCAACATCATCAGCATCATCGGGACACCATCATCATCACCATCACCATCATCATCCCATCATCATCATCACCATCATCATCATCATTACCAACATCATCATCATGGGGACACAGTCATCGTCATCATCATCAGCAGCATCATCATCACCATCACCATCTTCATCATCGGGACACCATCATGATCACCATCGTTATCATCATCAACATCATATTCAACATCATCATCATCAGCATCGGGACACCATCATCACCGTCATCATCTCATCATCATCATCATCGACATCATCAGCATCATCATCATCATCAGCATCAGCATCATCATCATCCTCATCGGGGCACCATCCTCATCATTACCAACATCATCATCATCGTCATCATCATCATCATTTTCATCATTATCATCATCGGGACACCATCATCATCACCATCATCATCATCAGCATCACCATCATAATAATCATGATCATGATCATGATCATGATCATGATCATGATCATGATCATGATCATGATCATGATCATCATCATCATCATCATCATCATCATCATCATCATCATCATCATCGGGACACCATCATCATCATCAACATCATAATCATCATCAAAATCATCATCATCATCATCACCATCGTCATCTGGACACAATCATCATCAACATCATCATAATCATCATCATCATCATCACCATCGGGACACCATCATCGTCATCATCATCATCAACATAATCATCATGATCATCATCGTCCTCATCATCGGGACACCATCATCATCATCATCCTCATCGACATCATCATCCACATCATCATCGTCATCATCATCATCATCTTGATCGGAACACCATCATCATCACCATCTCATCATCATCATAATCATAATCATAATCATCATCATTATCAACAACTTCAACATCATCATCATTACCAACATCACCATCATCATCATCACCATCATCACCTTCATCATCACCATCATCATCATCACCATCATCGGGACACCGACGGGACACCGACGGGACACCGACGGGACACCGGCGGGACACCGGCGGGACACCGCGGGCCACCGGCCGCCCGGAAGGGAGACATTTGGTCCGGCCGCGCCTCAGCCACACGGGACACCAGCGGGACACCGGCGGGACACCGAGGGCCACCGGCCGCCCGGAAGGGAGACATTTGGTCCGGGCCGCGCCTCAGCCACAGGAGACTTTCTCTCGCCCGCCCACGCAGCTTCGCCTCGCCCGCACGGCACGCACGAACACGAAACCGAAATCGATTTCCCGGTAGGGGGGCTCTCCGTTCCGCTTCGATCTCACCCCCTCACCTCCGATATATATATATATATATATATATATATATATGTATATATACATATATATGTATATATTCTTATACATATATATAGATCGATCGATAGATAGATATGTATATATATAGATAGATAGATATAGCTATATGTATATGAAGATAATTAGATAGATCGAAAGATAGATATATAGATATATAGATATTTGTATATATATAGATAGATCGATAGATAGATAGCTAGATAGATAGATGGATATATAGAAATAAAGAAAGATATATATATATATATATCAATAGATATATAGATATATAAATAGATATATAGATATATGTATAAATATAAATAGACATATATAGAGCGATATATAGTTCGATATATAGTTCGATATATAGATAGATATGTCGATATATAGTTCGATAGATAGTTCGATATATAGCTCGAAATATAGCGATAGCTACATATATAGTTCGATATATCTGTATATATACGTATATGTAGAGCGATATACAGTTCGATGTATATGTATATGCAGATATACATATATATGGATATCTCTATATATATATACCGACATATATATATATGTAGATAGATGTATATATATAAATATATATATATATATATGTATATATATAGATAGATATATAGATATATAGATAAATGGATAGATAGATAGATGTATACACACATTGGATGTTCGCCTTCACCTCCAAATCCCATATGCTCCTGTTTTTGTGTGTTGCCTCCGCGGCCGCCCTGTCTGTCTCGTTTGACCTCTCTCGCATGCCGGCCAATGTGCCATTCGGTCGCCCGAGTCGCCACACCCTGGATCGGACCGCCTCCACCTCGCCGCCGACGCAAAACGCTGTCCTACTTTCCTGGGGATCGGCTTTGATTCGTCTGTGTCTGTGCTCTCCTCGAGAGAGTCTGGTCAGAATGCACCGCGGGCGAGGTCCGGGGAGTACAGTCAGACTTTATTGGACAGGACACGCGAGAGGACTCAAGACCCTTCCGAGGGTCACACTGCAATAGGAATGCAGGAGGCACGGGTCGCGAGGCACAGGACACAAAGGTACCCTTGATTTGGCAGGGTCGACCTACTAATCCGGGCCGACTGTAGCTCGGTGGCGACCAGCCGAACCCTGCCCCTACCAGCACTCGATGCTCCCGAGTCGACGGGAGGCGGGGGTAGCCTTACGTCGGGCATGTCCCCCTACAGGGGGATCTTCGACGAACAAAACATTAAAAAATACACCAAAAATACCCCCGAAAAGGCACAAGCCAAAAAAAACTAAAACAATAGTCCCCAGTCTACTTTCGTACTATGTTTTTGACTATTCTGGGGGTATGTTTGATTTGTCGTCGAACACCCCCCTGTGGGGGGGCAGGCCCGACCTAAGGGTAGCCTGCGGATGCCGCCGAGCGCTCGCCGAAGCCCGAAATCTCAGCCCTGGCGGCTCCTCGAGCTGCCTGCACTGCGTGGATCGGCGAGGGCAGGGCTCGGCTTCCGCCGCCGAGCGGGGGCTGTGCTTACAGTCGGGCAGGTCCTCCTTCGGTGATGTTGGAAGACACATTCGGCGGTGGACAAACCTCCCTTTAGTAAACCTCCTCCTCCTCCTCCTCCTCCTCCTCCTCCCCATTCTCCTTCTCCTCCCCCTCCTCTCGGCGGTGGACAAACCTCCCTTTAATGAACCTCCCCTTGGTGAAAACGGCCTGGGACCGAAACCGACGGACCTGGACCCGCAAAAATGACGGCCGCGACGCCCTCTCGCGAACAGAAAACGGCCAAAGCCACTAATCGACGTGTCAGGGTAGGAGGTCTGTCCACCCCCGACAACTGAAGAAAAGTTACGGAAGGTTCAAGCATAGTCAACAATAATCGTAGACAAAATCGTCCCAGACTATGTTTTTGCTATGGTTGCATCTCCCTCCTGCAGAGGGACATGCCTGATCTAAGGTTATAGCACCTCTCCGCCCCCCGTGGGCCTCCGCCTTCCCGGAGGAGCTCTGCGGTATGGCCGTGAGCTCCACCTTGCCCTGCCCGAGGTAGAACACGGGCATCTGGCGGTCGCCCTGGCCCTCCTCGTCCAGGCTGGACCGCAGCCACGGGTCCACCACGAACACCGTGACGACCATGTGCCTGTCGGTGGCCGTCCGGAAGACCACGTCCGCGAGCGCCTGCAGGATGGCGCTCGGGGCCTCGAGGTCGCGCCAGAAGAAGCCGAAGCAGCTCAGCATCCTGCTCAGCCTCGAGACCTCCGGGGAGGGCGGAGGAGAGGCTGCGTGCGCGCAAACTCCCGCAGGTCCGCGCGGATCGCTCGGAACTGCGGCGCGGGACTTCCTCCCCCCCGAGCTCGCGCCAGGGGCGGCGCCGGCGCCGCCAGAGGGGAGCAGATCCGAGAAATCCGCGCGGACCGTCAGAAGACGTGAGGCTCGGGTTCGGGGAACTCGGGTCAGCCTGACGAGGGAAATGACTAGCCCCCAACCTGAAGAGGAGGCGATCTCCCGCTGCAGACATCCCACGGCAACTCGACCGTCAAAACCCAGGACGGCCTCGTCGAACGTCTCGGCAAATCCGAGTTCTGGTGAACTCGAATTCTATGTTTTTGGGGAAACCTACATGTACCGATACCGCTACTCCCCGGGCCTCTCCCGGGGTGCGTTCTGATCAGAATTTCGGGGCGGACCCAGCCGTTGCGACGAGGGCCCCCCCGGAGGCCCAAACAAGCGAACGCGAGGGGAGGCTAGCGATGGAGGTACCTTTTCTCCCTCGGAGACAGGCCCGAGTTCTATCGAACTCGAACCTCACGATTCCCCGATCCATGTTGGTGCCGTTGCCTCCTCCCCGGGACCTGCTGCTCCCCGCCGAGCGTGGCCCTCGTGGGGAGCAGGGCGCGCCGGGGACCACGGCAGCTCGAAGTCGGTCCCCCCTCATCTTTCCTCCCCCTCCTCCTCCTCCTGCTCCTGCTCCTCATCCTCCTCACCTCCTGCTCTCCCGCCTCCTCCTCCCCTCCTCCCCCTCAAACTTCCTCCCCCCTCCTCCCGCCCTCCCCTCCTCCCCCTGTCGACCTCCTGTCGGCCCCCCCTCCCAGGGAGCCTGCTTCAGGGGCCGCCGGGGACCGCGGGGCCTGGGGTCCAGGCGCTCCAGCTGTCCGAGCTGCGCTCCGCCGTGGCCACGAGCCCCCCCCCCCGACCCGAAGGCCAGTCACCTAGGGTTAGGTCGGGCCTGTCCCCCTACAGGGGGATTTTCGAGGAAAAACAAAAGATACCCCAAAAGTACACCCAAAAGGCAAAAAATACTCAAAAATTGTCCCCATATTATGTTTTGACTATTTTTGCGATTATTTCGGGGGTATTTTATTATTTTCGTCGAAAATCCCCCTGTAGGGGGACAGGCCCAACTTAAACCTAAGGAGGCAACTCCTGGGAGGTCCTTGCAGCAGGGCAGTTGACGGCTCTTGCACCCGACTGCGGGCAACTGGCACGGACTGGGCCAGATGGAACTGGACATAGTTTCGGAGCAGTTTTGGCGGGATCCCGCCGGATCGGGCCAGTTCTCGACCCGAGATCTACCAGCGCCGATGCTGCGTGCAACCTCTCCCAAGAACTACGCTCTAAAGTGCCGTTGCCTCAACTCGTCCTCCTCCGGAGATCGTTTTGCACCTTGCGGCGATAACCCGATTACCTGACCCGTTCGATTTGGGCAGCCCAACGCAAGCACGCGCGCACCAATACCATGCCTCCTACGGCTGCGAACGATGCTGCGACGAGGCTGCCACCAGTGGTGCTGCGACGATGGCGGCGCCGCCTGGGAATAGACGTGGACAGCTAGCCCTGCGTCCCCTCAGATCTGACGTACAGTGGAAACTCATGCCAGGAAACACCCTGCTTGCCTCCACGGTGCTTTTGGTTTCTTGGGTTCCGGTGGTTTTGCTATGGTTTCGCTATGGATATTGCCCACACCAAAAATCTATGGACGTCCTGCGGTCCCAGGGTTGGGTTTCCTGTGGAGGGTGTCCTGTGGTCGAGCTCATACTGCAGCACAAACAAAGAAACATTGCGACAAAAACACGGCCAGAGCCCTAGGCTTCGGTCGGGCCTGTCCCCCTTCAGGGGGATTTTGTGCGAGAAACAAAAAATGCTCAAAATATGCGCCCCACCCCATGGGCAAAAATAGTCAAACCAAATCGTACCCTGGCTATTTTTTTTTACAACTCTTGATCTTGAACATTCCCCTGTAGAGGGAGGGGCCCTGGGCTTAACCCTGGGCCCCCGCTTCCTGCTCAACCTGCTCGGGCGGGACCGCCCCGTGAGGCCTCGGGTCGGGCGAAAGGGGGGGATAGCAAAGGGGGGGTTTGAGAATCAGCTCGCGTAGCTGATTCTCCCGGCGCCTCCCGGTGCCGGGAGGCGCCAATGTATCGAGGAATGGGCCCCTCGGTGAGGCCGAAACCAGCTGCACGCAGCAAATTTCGCACCCCCCCCTTTCCCGATCCCCCGCTTTCGCCCGGCCCGAAGGGCCCCAGGGCCCGAGACCCGGCGAGATCGCGCGACGTGGCACCGATGCGTCGCCGGGACCTCTCGGGGCTATATATCGCCCGCGCCACGGCCCGCCACCGCTCGGACGCTTCCCTTTTCCCGTTTGCACTTGCCTGCTCGGCTCCGCGGGCGTGCTTCTGACATCTCTGCGGTTCCTGGAGGCTCCGGGCTGCTCCTCGAGGCCCCCCGCCGGAAATCAAGGGGCCCCAGGACACACAAATTCGCCGGCCCAACGGGCCAGAGGCGTGCTAAGATCTCCGGTAACTGCTCTACAATGTTTCTACTTCGCGCGCGCGGGGCGGCCCCTGGGGGTCCCCAGACGAAAAGTACCCCGACCAGGTCCCGGCCGGTCCCCGGCCGGGTCCCCCCGAGCGCTCCACGAGCGCACCAACAGGGCTCCGAAAACGTCCCCGAGGACCCAAACAAAACCAAGAGGCCCGCAAGAGGTCCCCAAGATGGTACACGAGGCGTCCGAGATGCCACAAGATCGCTCCAAGACGCCCAAGATGGCCCCCAGACGCTCCAAGAGGTCTCCAAGCGTACTCCCAAGAGGGCCCCAAGAGGCAAAATTCATTGCTTTTCCTTAGGTTTTGGACATATTTTGGCTTTTCCACCTTTTCCGCTTCCCGAAGCCCCAAGACAGCCCAAGACGACTCCAAGATCGCCCCAAGAGGGCTTAAGAGGCCCCCAAGAGAGCCCCAAGACGGCCCAAGAGGGCTCCAAGACGGCCCAAGAGGTCTCCAAGACGGCCCAAGAGGGCCCCAAGAACGCCCCAAGAGGGGGAACACGAAACAACATTTCCAGCCCTCGGCCCCAAGAAGCCCCCAGGAGGTCCCAAGAGGCCCCTAAGAGGCCCCAAGAGACCCCCCAGAGGCTCTCAGGAAGCTCCCAAGAAGCCCCCAAGCGGCCCCAGGAGGCCCCCAAAATGCCCCCCCGAGCACGCGAGCAAGCGCCAGCGATGCTACAATATGGCCAACCGCCAGAGCATCAGCGAAGGTTTTTTTCTTCCAGCCCTCCTTGCTCTGGATCCGTCAAATCACACCCCTACATGTCGTTTCACTTTCCCCTCAATGGCTCAGCGCTCCGCCGACCCGACGTCGCACCCTCCGTCTTCCAGCAATCGCTGCGTCCGGGTCGGTTACATTGCTTTCACCTTCTTCCGCGCAGCGGGCCCCGTGGAGCTCTTGCAGGACCTCTACGAGCCCCCCCAACCTCCGGGAAACCAGCGAGCACCTTCTAGAAACCGAAGCCCCCCAAGGAGCCATACAGGCACCCTCCAGAAACACTCCACGAGCTCTGGAATCCTGCAGAAGCCCTGGAACCCATCAGAAACCATCCTGGAAAGAAAACCAAAAGAACGCCTCAAGAGGGCCCCAGGGCGGGGACCCGAAACGACATTTCGAGCCCACGGCCCTACGAAGCCCCCGGGTAGCCCTAAAACCCCTAAGAAGCCCCAAGAGACCCCCCAGAAGCCCTCAGGATGCCCCCAAGAGGCCCCCCAACCGGCCCCAGGAGGCCCCCCAAATACCCCCCGGGCACGCAGGCAAGCGCCAGTGATGCTGCAATATGGGCCGGCGGAATGAGCGAAGCGATTGAATAAATACACACAAATAAAAATATTCTCCATATTTTCCCATATTTTCTGGGTTTTTGTCTTCCCGCCCAATTCCTATATTTTCCCATATTTTCTTGGGGATCGACGATTAATTGTGTCTGTGTGTTTTTTTCCCTCCTGAGGAAACAATGTACGCGTCCGCGCAACGCCAAGCAGAGGTGTGCATAGAGGCCTCCCAGATGGGGTCGGAGCAGATGGGGTCGGAGGATCGCGCCGAATCGGCGATGCATCGGCGATGCATCAAGGATGCACGGGCGACGCATCGTCGACGTCGGCGGTGCATCGGCGACGCCAGCGTGACACAAATCGGGCCCCACATCGAGCCGCAGATCGGCGATGCATCCACGATGCGGCGCGATCCCTCGACCCCCTCTGCTCGGACCCCATCTACGAGGCCTAGAGTGCAGCAAGCGGTCTCCGGGCCTGTGCCTCACCGCCGCGGTCAGCGACGACCGTCGCGGCCGCAACGCCATGGCGGAGGCCCGCGGCGCCAGGGAGGACCTCGCCGTCACGGCGCCCTCGCGCGAGGCGGGCCGCCCGGGCCCGCTCGGGGACCGGGAGAAGTGCAGGCCGTCCTCGGAGGCCGCCCGCGGGAGCGGCGGAAAGGAAGGGTAGGAGGCAACTACTGGGAGGTTTTCGTCGTAAAGGTTAAGGAGGATTAAGCCCCATTTGAAATGAAGCTGTTACGCCGGAGTGGGCCTCGGACTCAGCAGGATTGAGCCAGATGAAGCGGGATTAAGCGGGATTACGCCGGATTAAGCGGGATTAAGCTGCATTGAGCCGGATTTCGGACCAGGGCGAAAACAGAATTTGACCTCCCAGGAGTTGCATCCGAAAGAAGGGGTCTGTCGAGGGGCGAAAATCCACTGAGGGGCAACGAGGGGGGGGGGACTGGCAGAGGGGGGGTGCATCGACCCGGAATCGGCGCTACATCGCAGATGGATTGGCGATGGGCCACCGATGGCGAATCCCCACGCTCCTGGGCTAGGGCTCCCAACTTCGCGCTTCGCGCTCCGCGAAGCGCGAAGCGCGAATAACTTCGCGCCCTCGCGCCGCCCCCCAAAGGGAGAAAAGGAGGACGAGGAGGAGGGGGGAGAAAGAACGAGGACCGCGAAGCGCGAAGCGCGAATAACTTCGCGCCCTCGTGGGAGCCCTTGCCTGGGCGGGGTGGGGCTATCGGGCCCCTATCGGCGATCAGTGGGCGCTTGGGGGTCGACGCATCCTTCCCTATGCCGCACCATTGCAATCCTTCGGTTTTTTTTTTGCAATCCTTCGGTTTTTTTTGCAATCCTTCGGTTTTTTTTGCAATCCTTCGGTTTTTTTGTTGCAATCGGTCGTTGCTCCCGATCCACCCCCATAAGAACCACTCCGACAAGCGAAGCCGTTCAGTGAACGCACCCAAAGGAGGAACCGAACAGGGCAGCGCTGCTGCGCCAAACGCCCGGGGTCGTCTAGGAAATGCCACTCATCGGGTCTGGGTGGTTTGTCTTCCCCTGAGTTGAACCGCGGGGCACGAAAGGGGTGGGATAGCAGAGGGCAGGGTAGCGAAGCAGCTCACGCAAGTGTTTTTCCTCGCGCCTCCTGGCTCTAGGAGGCGCCCACGTGTCGAGGAAGGGGCTTGGCGGCGGGGCCCAAACCAGCGGCATGCAGCAGATTTCGTATCCCTCCCTTTTCCCTGTCCCCCCCTTTGTTCGACCCGATCTCACGCGGTGGCTTACGTGGGCCGCCAGCGCGGCACGCTACGCTGGAAGCGAAGGCGCCCGAGCGAAACCCTACGCGTGCAGCCGACGCGCCAACGTCGGCGAAGACGACGCCTTCTCTTGGCGCCTCTCACGTGGGGTCCGAGCGCATGGGGTCGGAAGATCGCGCCTCACCGCTGCGGCAGGTTCGCGTCGCGATGGCGTAGGTGTTGTAAAGGGACATTAGGACACACAAATAAATACACACAAATAAAAATAGTCCCCATATTTTCCCATATTTTCTGGGTTTTTGTCTTCCCGCCCAATTCCCATATTTTCCCATATTTTCTTGGGGATCGACGATTAATTGTGTCTGTGTGTTTTTTTCCCTCCTGATGTTGGTCCCTGACACCCCGTTCATCGCTCACCCTTCAACGATCCCGGCCTTCCGATGGGGCAGATCGTTCGCTGTCCGCCCGTTCCCGGCCACTGGCGGCGTCCTCAACCTCGAGCACCCGCGCTGGGTTCACCGCCGCGGCGACGCAGCGCGAGCTTGCCGTAATGCATCGCTGATGCATCGGCAATGCACCCGCCACGACGGCAGTGCATCGGCGCCGCCAGCGTGGAGAGCAACGGGCTCCACGTCGAGGCGCATCGCCGATGCATCGACACTGTGGCGCGATCCTCCGACACCATCTACTTGGCACCCATTCGAGAGGACTGGAGTCCTCGCTCGCGAGGTCGGAGCTGTCCGAGAAGGCCGCGGAGCTCCTGGGAGGGGGACAGCAAGATGCCCCGAACACTTGGTGTCGCGGACACAATCACGACGGGCGGTCGCTCGCTTTATTCGGCATCCGGGGTTCTTGCCCGGCCCCCGGGACCGTCAACAGTCCACTCAGGATGAAGAGTCGTTCCTGGGGAATGGGTCGGCACCTCTGGGTGTCGAGATCAGAAAACACACATGACGTCGTGGTCCTGGATGCCCAGAACTCCGCAGCAGATCTGTGTTCTGCTGCATACGGTAGCTGTTCCTCCATGGCTGCCTCGAGGGCCTCCAGGGCGCCCCAGGACCATCGCACGAATCGGCACGAGAAACTACCCCCAATAAAGATTTTTTGTTTTTTTTTTTCCAGCGCGATATTTTGGAGGAGAAGGAGGAAAGCTGAGGGGACGAAGGCGGACAGACAAGCCAAGATCGCGAGCAAATGCAATGAACTGGCCAGTGCACGCCTGGTCGAGAAGGCAAGTCTGGGACCGCGCTGCTCCACGGACATCTCCTGGGGTGCGCTCTGACTTGAATTTCGAGGCGGCTCCAACCGTGGCGACGAGGGGAAGGTAACGGTATCGGCACTTGACGTCGGGTGGATCTGGCGCCGATGGGCCCGCGGGAAGAAGAGGTGCAAAATAGTGCTTGCAATAATTGGAGCCTGCATGCCATAATTTGGGCGCTGGATGTAGCAAATGCGCATGTATACAGTCGTGTGGTATCTTTACGCAGCAACTGTTGCCGTGCACTAGGTCGTGTCCCACCCGACCACCCAAGGAGGAGGAGGAGGAGGAGGAGGAGGAGGAGGAGAAAGAAGAGGAGGGGGAGTAGGAGATGTCTTGGTGGCCCTTCGGGCCTCTCCCCCCCCTGCAAGAGTTGCGCACTCTTGCACGCAACAGCATGCGACTGGCGATCGACTGCGCCTCCCACCGCCGACTCACAGACCCTCCTCCTCCTCGATCAGCTCCTCCTCAACCTACTCCTCTTCATCCTCCTCCTCCTTCTCCTCCTCCCCCTCATCCTCCTCCTCCCACTCCTCCTCCAACTCCTCCGTCTCCTCATTCCTCCTCCTCCCCCTCCTCGTCCTCCTCCACCTCCTCCCTCCCCAAATTCCTCCTCCTCCTCCTCCTCCTCGTCCTCCGCCTCCTCTTCCTCCTCCGCCTCCGTCTGCTCATCCACATCCGCCTCACCCGCCTCGTCCTCCTCCTCCTCCTGGCCTCCTCCTCCTCCTCCTCCTCCTCCTCCTCCTCCTCCTCCTCCCCCTCTCTTTCTCAGTCTTGCTCTTCTTCGTATGCGTCCTAATAATCGCAATAGTAGTACGATCCTGAGTCAGCCTTCGTAGTATTAATACTGCTATTAGTTGCTGCAATGTTAGTGGTATAGTTGTGAGTGGTATTATGGTTATGTGCTGCAGTCTTATTATTCATACTGTTATTACTAGTATTGTTATCATTGTCAGTTGCATGTGTTTCAGTAGTATGAGTCGTATGAGTCGCCTTCTTAGCATTCGCAATCATCATTTGTTTGTATTGTCAGTACCGTTTGTCGTATACTTATTCGCCTACTTCGTACTATTGTCTCTAATCTTAGTATTATCATTGCTAGTAGTATCCGTCTTCTTACTACTATGTCCTCCTCCTCCTTCGCCTCCTCCTCCTCCTGGTCCTCCTCCTCCTCAACTTTCCTCCTCCCCTGCCTCCTCCCCCTTTCTCCTCCTCCTACGCCTCTCACGCACGGGTGGCCTAAGGCATCGTACCCGTTTGGGCTCGAGCTAGCCATGGGGTGCCCAGCACATTGCCTTCGCGTGGCGCTTGAGGGACTCCCAACACATCACCTTCCACAATGCAGTCGCATCTTTTGGAGGGTTGTTGGCGTGGGATGGCAAGAATGGGCGAACTCAAGTATAGTGTACAACAAGCGTTTTGGTGTAGTGCATTCTGGTGTACGTTCAATTGCCGTCTTTTTGGACCGCACTTGTTGTTCTCAGATTGCTCTGCCACATATGTTCAATTCGCTTGGTATGCTTGTGTCAGCAAGTAAGCAGTGGTAGCATGCACTGTGGCGGCCAGGCGGGGCCACATCAGCTTCAGTGCAGGTATCTCCCACTGCCGCAAGGGGAATGTACTCCTACAGTCTGTTCCGCGCCCAGCAGGGGCCAAGTATCATCCCCTTCAATGCCCGCATCTCCCATGTCCGCTTGGGGAGGGTACTGCACTTTGTTGTTGGTGGTGTTCTGTAGTTGGTCTCAGCTGTTTTTTTGTCCCATGTGGCATTGGGCGTATCAGGAGGCAGGCAGTCGCTCCCTGTGTGCTTGGTCAAGTGGTTTACATACTTTTCCAAGGTCAAAGGGTGAACGTCCCGCATAGTGTCGTGGCGTCAAGATTAATTCAGGCTTTATTGAACCAGTTTCAACATGGGGTTCCGCATGTGGCCGTCATTTGTGTTTTGTTCAACAGCTGAGGCACACACATTTGCTCATGCAATACGTTGTGCAGGTCGTTGCGCGTTTGGATATATTTTGCTCAGGCAAATACTTGTGGAAGTGCTTGTACGTGTGCTCTCGCTGATGGACATAACTTTGGTTTAGTCTGGTGATTCAGCCAGAGCAATAATTTGTGAAGGCGTTTGTGGCTACTGTCGCTGATGGACATGCTTTTGATTTGGGTGAGTCATCGTGCTTTCAATACCTTGTGAAGGCGTTGGCTGTAAATGCAGCGTGTCTCACGTGTGTTGTGCGCCATGTTCTGGTTCGTCTCCTTCCCCATCCTTGTCCTCGCGTTGCTGGAGAAGCTCTGGGGAGGCCAGGTAGTATAACTTAGAGTCATCTGACATTCCCATCCCCTCCTCCTCCTCCTCTTCCTCCTCCTCTTCCACTCCTTTTCCTGATCAAAAACTTCCCCATGTCGCACCCCGAGGCCAGTGTTTAGGGCGGGCCGGGCGTATCGCCTGAGACTTCCTCACCATGTATGACCCTGAATCTCAAACGTTGACAACCGTTTCACAGATGGAGGGCGGGCCGTTGTCAAAATGTGGCTTTCGCCGCAGCGCCGCGCACACTCATTGTACAAATTTAGTACGAGTTTCACAAATTGAGGGCGACCCGATTTCAAAAATGTGGCTCTCGCCGTAGCGCCGCGCACATTCCTTGTACACAAATTGCAATTTCACGGATTCAGAGCGACCCGTTTTCAAAATGTGACTCTCGCCTTAGCGCCGCGACATTCGATCTAAACATTGAGAAGAGCTTCGCGGATTAAGGGCGATCAATTTTCACAATGTGGCTCTTGCCTTAGCGCCGCGCGCATTCCTTGTAAGCATTACAAGGATTTAGCGGATTGAGGGCGGCCCAATGTCAAGATGTGGCTCTCTCCTTAGTGCCGCGCACGTTCCTTTCAACACAATTGCAACAGTTTCACGGACTCAGGGCGGTTCATTTTCATAATGTGGCTCTCTCCTTAGCGCCGCGCACATTCTTTTAAACATTTGCAAAGGTTGAATGGGTTCCCATGATCAACATGCCAGAGACGGTTATGAGGGTGCAACGGTTGCGTTGATTCGCGTTGTTGACGTCCCGGGAATGGCTTTCCAGCATGACTCAGGATCGCCAAGACGCAAGAGTCAGGTTGATCCGTGGCGATGCAATCCCCAGAACGATTTTTTGGCATGCCCCAGGGTCTTCAAACGGTTGTCTTCCAACGAGACGGTTCCCTATGGAGAGGAAGCTTGGAGGGGAATTTAATTCCAACGACGTTGATGACTCTGAGGTTTACACTGTTCTTCCTCCTCCTCCTCCCCGATCTCCTCCTCCTTCTCATCATCTCCCTCCTACTGCAAATCCTACTCCTCCTCCTCCGCCCTCTCCTTCTCCTCCTCCTCCGCCAACTCCAACTCATCCTCCTCCCCGATCTCCTCCTCATCATCATCATCTCCCTCCTTCTGCACATCCTCCTTCTCCTCCGCCCTCTCCTCCTCCTCCTCCTCCTCCTTCTCCTCCTCCTCCTCCTCCAACGCCAACTCCAACTCATCCTCCTGCTCCTCATCCTCCTGCTGCTCCTGCTCCTGCTCCTCCTCTTCCTCCTCCTGTTCCTCCTCCTCCTCCTGCTCCTCCTCCTCCTACTCCTCCTCCTCCTTCTCCTCCTCCTCCTGGTCCCCTCCGCCTGCTCCAGCTCTTCCTCCTCCTCCTCCTCCTCCTCCTCCTCCTCCTCTCTCCTTACCCTCCCCTCCTCCTCCTCCTGCTCCTCCTCCTCCTGCTCCTCCTCCTCCTCCTCTTCCTCTCCTCCTCCCCTCCTCCTGCTCCTCTTCCCCATGCTCTTCCTCCTCCTCCTCCTCCTCCTCCACCTCCGCCCTCAAGCCATATGGGCCCGAACACCAAGTCCTTCACCCCTGAGTGAAGGCACGTGCTTGAGCCTGCCCAGACCCTTCACGGGGGGCTTGGGGAGTGCGAGAATGCGTCTTTCCCTCACTTTCAGTTCTCGCCCACGGAAGCTGGGCATCTCTCCGCACATTTCAGCATGCCACAGGTTGTTTCTCGGCCCTGGGGTCAGTGCAAATTCTGCAAGCGAAACGAGTACAACGATAAGCTGGCCCTTTCAGGCAATCGTTGTGGACGATGCGGCAGACAGATGAAGATTATTCGGCCTCCCTCTCGTTCGGCTGATCGTTCCAAGTCGGTCACCTTTGAGGACGAGCACCCCCCTGCGGGTCCTGGCACTCCGAGGGGCAAACGGCATCCACAGGCGATAATGAGTTGCATTCGATCTTGAAGCAACAGAGCGAGCGCCTCGCCGTGCAGGCTGCCACCAAGAGCGGCTCGTCGGACGCTGTAAACGGTGTGAAGAAAACGGATGGGGCATGGAGAGCCGCCGACAACCGTCACGGACAGATGGTCAATCAAGTGGTGAGATTGAGGAAACAATTAGCCTCCGCCGCGGGCAAAGAGCGCGAGGCCGCGCTCGAGCTCGCTCGCACGGTGGCGGCCAAGACGGCGGCAACGGCAGCGCTGGCA